GAGGAGGCCGGCCGCGCTCGGCACACGCTGCGTTCTCGCCGCAGGCGCGAGGGGCGCACGCGGACGCGCGATCGGTGCGGCACGTTGCTGTGCGTGTCCGGGCCCCCAACAGACCGCCCTGTGTTCCGGGGGTCTCGCTGGGAGCGGTAGGGTGCGGTCCGCACCCCTGACCCCAGGCCTGAGGGTGGGGCGCGTGGGGAGGGTCACTCCATTCCAGCAAAGTGAAGGAAACAGGACGTGCTAGTGGGGCCGGGGCTCCGTGGGCAAGATGGCGAGATGGAGGTCTAAGCTGGAAGGTTGCGGGGCCTCTAATGGCAGTGAGAAGTGGGGTCCAGAAAGGTCCCATGGGAGGGGCAAACCAACTACCCCCCAGTCCCGGGACTCTGGCTCCGTGACCTCATGGGTGTCACGGTGGAACTCGGCTCCACAGAATGTCAGGGGACTGAATTTACGGAAGTAGATCACTAGGCTTTTCTTCTAGATGCCTTTGGGTGGACTGGAACCTCCAGCCTCCCAGCTAGCAGCTGGGCGAATTAGCCATTTCCAGCACCCAGGGCCCCCGTGGAAAGGACAAGGGGACCCTTTGCTCCTCATGGCATGCACACAACCCACCACATAGTGCACACACAATGCACACACGTGGTGCACACACAGGCCACAAGGCACACACACAGCCCCAAGTGAGAGAGCAGACCAGACGGGGCTGAGGAGAAGGCAACACTGCTCTCCACCTGCTCAGCTGTCCTCCTGGGGACACAGGCCAGCGCTGCCTCCCGTGGGCTTGCAACAGAGACACCATGTCCTCTGGGTGCAAACTTCAGCCTTCAGATTACAAATGGGAGCTAGCACGTGGTAGGGCGGTAGCCGCCACGTAACCGCCATGTCTCGCAGCAGCCCAGGCGGGAGACCTAGGACAGTCACTAGCCGTCTAACTGCACACCTGGAAGCCCTGGGTCTCTGTGAAGAAATAAAGCCGATCTACAGGATAAGCCACAGAGGAGAGAGAACAGGTTGCCCACGAAGAGTTCGCAGGCCAGCGTGCCTCTGGCAGGATCCGGCATCGCGTGGCCACTGTGCAGAGAATCTACTAGTGCTGCACGTGGAGGAGCCGTGTCAGGCGGTCCCTGGCGTCCTGGGATACAACGTGAGCTGCAAGGGGAGGAAACGGAAGGATGGTCAACAAGGAGCACAGCCAGCAGCACAGACTAACCCCAGCCTCCACCGCTGCAGCTGCGCCCCAAGCCCCACTGTTTGGGCGGAGAGAGCAGTGAGGGTGTCACTGGGTAGGGAGGTACTGAGGCAAGTGGCTAGCTCTGCTCACGCCTTCCCACTGGAAAGGGCTCGATGACACCACCAGCCAACGCTGCTGTCGGCCCCTTACACTGGGGAGTCAGGCTGGATGTGAGCAGAGGGTTACATCGTCAGCACGGAACCCGGGTCTGCAGGGCTCAGTTTCCTCCCACACGGTCTTGAAGGTACTTCCAGTCTCAAAGGATAGAACCCTTCCAGTCACCACCTGCTCCCGTCAGGGCCTCTTGTAGAAAAACCAGAACCTACTGCCCTCACGTTGATTATGACCCACAGCCACCCTGTGGGACAAGGCAGAGCTGCCCCAGAGGGTCTCCAAGGCTGGTGGCCTGGTGCCTAAGGCATGTGACTGCTCACCAGAGGGCTGGCGGTTCAAACCCACCAGCCACTCCTCGGAAGGAAGGTTGGGCAATCTACTTCCGTAGTGATACCGCCTCGGAAACCCAAGGAGGGGTCGCCATGAGTCGGATCAGACTCCTCGACAGTGAGGTTTTTTTTTTTTTTTTAATCTTTACAGAAGCAAAGCCCAAACCACACCTGCTGCTGTCAAGTGGGTTCTGCCTCACAGCGCCCCTAGAGGACAGAGTGGAACTGCCCCACAGGGTGTTCAAAGCTGACAATCTTTACAGAAGCAAAGCCCAAACCACACCTGCTGCTGTCAAGTGGGTTCTGCCTCACAGCGCCCCTAGAGGACAGAGTGGAACTGCCCCACAGGGTGTTCTAGCTGCAATCCTTACTGAAGATGACTGCCTCATCTTTCTTCCATGGAGCGGCTGGTGGGTTTGAACGCTCAACCTTTTGTTTACCAGCTGAATGCCTTAAGCACTGAACCACCAGAGCTCCTTGTTTCTACAGAAGTCTTCTTCTTTCTCACCACTTGGCTCTTGTGGGCTCTTTGCCATCTTCTGAGGCAAGAATAAAGGTTCCAGATCTGGTATGAACTGGAGCCACCTTTCTGGAGGGCAGTCTGACAGTGTGCTGGAAAAGCTCTTGAAATATGCCTTCCGGTGGTTGCGATCACTGACTTGTGAGGCAGCTATCCCACTTACAGAAAACTTCTAAGGAGATAAACTGCTCTGTAAACGGGTTTATGGATAACACTTCTCAGAGCCCTGTTTACACAATAATGCAAGCGTGTACACAACCCATGCCTTCAGAGGGGATGATTAAAGTAGAGCACTACGCAGCCTGTATTTGCTGAC